TTTGACTTTGGTGAATCTCAACTAACCCTTTAAAATGCTAAAGTCACAAAATAACACAAATAAAATAAGTGTTGGAGGCAGCGGTAGACCAGCAGCTCCTGTGTTAAGCAATGTTAAATCACTGTTTTTCTCAATGGAGTCTGGCTTTGAAGAGAGTGATATATTGTCTTCATTTCCCTGTTGGAAATTGCTGTCTGATGACAAGGTAAAGCGGTGAAAATATTCTCCATAGAGTACACTTAAACTGATACTGATTTTTTAAGTGGCTAAAATATGTTTTTGTTGCTGACCCCGTCCACAGCAGTACATCGCTCAACTGTTATGTCAGACTTCTGCCTGCTTCTCCAAACTGGGCTGTGCCAACTGACTATGGATCTCATACAACCTCAATGAAAAGATCCAAACTATGCCTTTAATATGCACATTCAGCACATCCAATGCATCAAAACATTGTTTTCTAGTTGGAGCCGCGCCTCGTTTTCAAACTGTATGATTTGACTAAAATGAACAATGACAGCAATATAGTCCACGATGAGCAGCGCTAAAATCAACCTGCGTAGTTGTCCCTCCATTGTGACATTAGAAAGTGTCACATTTATCTTGCAAGTGTACTCTTCTTCAACGTTTGCTTTACTTCCTGGATTTTTCCCACATGGAAATTCTGACCAATCAGGAGCAGCTTTATTGCACAACTCTACACAATTATGCACCTTTGTTACAAAAAAAGACCAAAGCAAGACAACTCTAGGTCTGAAAGCTCCCTAATTCGGAAGTCAGCCTCCTTGTGACAAATAAAGCACAATGCTTGTATAATCCCTCTCAATCATGTATTTATCTGCAGAGACTCTGCGCTCTGCCTTTATTTTTTTAATTCCTCTAATTTTACTGTGTTCAGGATGTTCCAGGTAGTGACGAGGTACCAGACTGTAAGCAGCAAGTACCAAAGAGGACGCTACAACACAGCGCCAAAAATTAAACACAAATTCAGTGTATCTGGGGTCAGCTTTCATTTTTGTTGGCGATATTGTTTACAAACAGTAACCAGAAATTCCTGCATGGTATACCTTTAAGTGTGTAGAATGATGTCCAAAATCCTCAAATGCAATGTGAGATATTCAGTCCACAGCTCAGTGACAAACATCTCCTCTTCCCAAATGTTACCTGTCATGACCACTAGAGTGCAGCAGAGCTCTGTGAAGCCCCGACTGGTTTAAACCCCACTTGTCTCTGAGCACACTGTCCTGTGCGCAGCCTCAAAAAGGACTCAAAAAACAAAACAATTTGTGAAGCTTTCACAAATGTCCTGCAGTATGTTTAGTGGGAGCACTGGTCCTAATGTGAGGGGTTTAAAAGAATCATGCAGGTAGTTATGCATGTTGCACGTTAGATTCGTAGATTAGGAATGAACTGCAAATCATTGCATCAGTTTCCTTTCTTCTGGGCAGCAATTTTAGTCATTAAATATCAAACCTATATGAAAACCAACCCACAGAGTCTATACAATAGCTGCAGAGTGATAATTCATGACAGGGGACATAAGTCTGCCTGTATGTTTTTGTGTAGTTACTTTAAGGACACTGAGTTTTGAATGAACCATCTAAATTCACACATTTATCGATATGTTTGTTTTTTATGTTATTTTTTCTTTGCGTTTGCTCTTTGTTTGAAATCCAGCAACAGCGGGCTCATGAATGCCGGGCAAGTTTTGTTTGTCAGAGCAACTTTTAAATCACAATAAGCAGAGTTTCTTTTACAACAGTCTCTGTGTGCGACTGCATCACAACATTACAAAGACTGAACAAATGGGAAATGTTAAGGGAATGAGTCATTCACTGTGTAGTAACCCATCTGCAGCACGTTTCAAGTCTCTTAAAGTGGATTCTCTATCTGAATCAATGACCCAGATTTTAAAGCACTTTGAGGCCAATTTCAGCAATGATTTTGAGCTTTATATTTAAGATTGCCGTGACTCTTAGAGATGAATTGGCTGCCTGGGAGGAAATCAATCTAAAATATTTTAACTAAAACAGGCATCATCTAAAATATGCACGGCATATTTCCATATCCATGCCCCTCACATTCTCTAGATATACAGTAACAGAACTCCATCCTCATTATTTACTTTCTTAATCATGTAGATTGAAATCTTTTCAGTGGGAAGCTTTGTGTCCTTAATTCTCATCAGATCTCCTTTGAGTCACTTTTTTCTCTTCAGTCTCTGCACGAAAACAAATAACCTTTTGCATCTTCTGTCCAGGCCTTTTCTTTTCCTTTCGCCCATTATCATGTGTCCAGGGTTTTTGAGAGGCAGACAAAAATCTGTTGGATGGATGGATGGATGATTGAATGAATGGGTTTTACTCTGAGGGAGTAGAAAGCGCACAACAGGCTCTTTATGAACTTGTCAACAGGGCTGACCCAGCCATTCACGGCTGAACTGAGTCAGTTTGTGCAGAAGAGGTAAGTTCTGACAAACAGCAAGGTTAATACATACTAGTGTTTTCCTCATTGGTTATCGGATGATAAAGGGAGGATTCAGCAGCATCAGCTCAGCGGGGTCAGGTTCAGTCGTCAGGTTTTCTTTTCACGTTATTCAAAGTTATAATAATGCCGCTTGATTGACTCCAGCTCAGCTTCACTTGTACGCGGCTGCAGTTTGATGAATATATCCTTGCTTGATCTGTGATGGACTTTTGATTACGATCCTTTGTGACTCTGTGTTTCTTTCAAGAGGTTTGGCAGGTCTGAATATGATGAGTTTAGTGTTTGTGCAGTAGGTGGGTGAGTGAGAATGGTGGTACATCGTGTTTCAGCTCTGGGCTATTAATACGGTTCATGCGACATTTGAAGTAGATAATAGATACTAGAAAATGTTAGAGGTTTCTGAAAAACAGTTCAAGGAGGTCCGGCTGCTCTGGAGGCAGAAATTAGCTCATTGGTTGAATTAACCGTCATCTCAGGTCGTCTTGTCGCTTCTCACATGTTTCGGTGTTTGGTTCCAAGTTTTTTGGGCCATCACTAAATTTTGGAATGAGGACGTATGGAAATTCATTCATCATTCATTTTCTACGTCCAGTTTTGGCGCATGTATTCATCAGAAGCCCAAATGCTCTAGAACCCCTCTAGTACTAATACCACTTGTTAGGTCTTTACTCTAGAGTCCTCCAAATTTAGGGAGATCATGGACATAAAGAATTAGCAGATTTAGCCTTTGACTGAAATTTAATCTAAGTCCTCTGTAAATTTCCCTCTAAAATCAAGCATGGTTGCAGATTTATCTCTACGTACACTACAGAAAAATTCCAGTTTATTACAACTCACGTTTTATTTTGGTAGTTTTGTCAGTTTATCAATGAAATTGTACTCAATAAGTGAAACACTCGAGTGACGCCAGCCTTTCAGCCAAGAAATTTGCACATGTAATCCATAAGATTAAACGTGTTAAAGTCACACGAGATAAGACATTCAGAGACCATAAGGATTTTTGAAAACACTCTAATTATGAAGTGAATTAAAAAGGTCACAAGCGAGAAAGAAGGAAACTGGTATAATGACACTGAGCACTCTGCTACTGAGATGCTGCAAACATCATTAATGCCAAGGTCGGTAATAGACAGAAACAGAAGTCATTGACATTCGTATTTTCATATTGGGTTCTTCCCTTTAAGGTGTCACTTGTAGAAGAATACTTAAGTGTTTCCCAACCATGAGGTACTTATGCATTTGCCAGGGGGTACTTGTGGAGATTTTGGAGTAACTAAATTAATTTGACAGAAAACAAACTAGATTTAATTAAATTATATATATATATATAATTATATTTATATATCCACATATTGAGTCAGCTGTAACACTTTAACACTACATGTTGAGATTGCATGAAAAAAGTTAGCAAGCAATCTAAGATGTTGTCTTAAAAATGATAAAAAACTAAAAAAAGTAATGGATAAATGGTTGTTAATGGTAAAACAGCTATAAATACTTAATAAATGGTGAAACAGCTGAAAGTTATTCATGACTGACAACTATGGCAAGGCTAGATAAAATCAATATATGGGTGAAAATAGCGCAAAAGCTAAAAGTAATAAATAAATGGCTGAAAATTGCAAAAATAAAAGTAATGGATAATTGGTTGAAATGGCTAAAAAAAAAGCATTGGAATAATAACTGAAAATGTTGGAAAATGTGAAAGTAGCAGATAAATGACTGAAAATTGTGAAAAAGCTAATAGTAATGATAACTGGTTGAAAATAGTGAAAATTTGAAGAGTAATGGATAAATGGCAGAAAATGGCAAAAAAAAGTAATGAATAATTGGCTAAAATGTAAAAAAAATCAAAAAGTAAATGGTAAATGATTGAAAATGGTAAAACAACAACAACAAATTGAGAAGTAATGGATAAGTGGCTTAAAATAGTGAAAAGCTGAAAGTAATTCATTATTGGCTGAAAATCGTGACACGGCTAAAAGAAATCAAGAAATTGAGAAATGGCTCAAAATAGTGCAAAAAGGAAAAACGAATGAATAGTTAGTGTAAATGGCAAAAGCTCAAAGTAATAGGCCTATATAAATGTCTAAAAATGCCAAAATTAATGTAGAAATGTTTTAAATGTCAAACTTTTGCCACTTCAACTGCGAGTACTAAATTAATTAAACTGACTTAAAAATTCATTTCAGTAGTTTGAAAAAAGTGTTGTTTTTAAAACTACTTAGTGTTTTGAATAGCATCCGGTTAAAAGATGGACACATCTGAAACATGGTGTAAATTTAGTGGTACTTTAGTTCATCTGCAGGGCCGGAGGAGTTCATCAGAGAAAAAAGGGGGCAGTAGTTTTACTATATGACTTTGGCTGACCAAGGTTTGATGAGTTATAGTTCTACAACCAGAGCAGCTGATTCTCTGAGAAACACTGATAGTGAAGGCAACAGGAAATGGCTCTGACCTCTTCTCTCACCCCGCAGAAGCTTTAACGTCTGTCCACTTCTGTTCTTCCTCTCCAGAGGCCAGTAACAGCAGCCATGAGTCCAGAGTCGGTTCGATCCGGGACAGAGAGAGGAAGGCTGTGGTTCCTCTGGCCGTCATCTCCACCCTCACCGTCCTCGGCCTGATCGTCCTCATCGGTATCCTCGTCTACTGGAGGTCAGTGCTGCTGCTGTATTTAAAGATGTGTGTTTTTTTTGTTGTTTTGGCCACTAGAGGGCAGAAATCATCCACAGCAGGCTGACAGAAACACACCCTGACATATTATCATCTTATAAAACTGTTACGGTTGAACTTGTCTTCTTTGTTTTTATTTAAATGTGCATAAGGTTGCGGGTTCCTCGTGACCTTGGGGTTAAGGTGCCAACTGAACAGCAGCATCACTGTTCGACTCCGGTTGGGGACGATGTTGAATGTGGAGATGGAGAACGTCCCGTCTTTTTACCCTTATTTTCTGTCATCTCTTTACTGTTCGTTTTCAAATACAGGCTTAAAAATGCCTGAAAACATATATTTGTTCTTTTAAAACTGTGCTTATGTTTAAATGAATGCACCTGGAAAGGTAAACAGACAGTTTGTTGAAGAAAAGACGAGGATACATGGTGGAATCAGTCAGTCAAACTTTATTTATACAGCACTTTTCTTACAACCAGAATGCAACAAGAAGTGCTTCACACAATAACAATAATTAGCGATTAACGACAATTAAGTTTTATCATTGATTTCCATCTGTGTAGGTGTGAATTAATCCATCCAGTATTTTTAAAGACACTCTCGCACACGGCCTCTTCAGCTCCCCCTGCCCTTCAACCCCATCATATCTCATATAATATGGGGGAGGGGGAGTGAAGTGGGGACTTTAGCCAGAAGACTCTCATATTTGTCTGGGAAGCTGCATCTCCTCAAACACGAGCTCAGCCTGTGTGTGTGTGTGTGTGTGTGTGTGTGTGTGTGTTTGTTCACCAGCAGCCCCTTCACAAACAATACCTCCTGTGTCGTGCTGTTGATGCGGCTGCTGGCAGACTGAATGAAGCCTTTCAGCCGCCGCTCTCTTTTGACAGCAGAGTGTTTTGGATTCCTGTCGGTTGACCTTGAGAGATGCTGTTTTTTAAAAATTTTTATTGAGACGTGTGAAAAAGACGTGGATTTTGAGCAAACAAAAGTTCCTTCAGTAACATAAAAGTTTGTTTGTTTGTTTGTTTTCTGGTATATCTATTCAGGATAAAAACCTAAAATCTCTTTTCTTCTTGTGCTGAAAACATCTTTGGCTGTTCAGAAGGAAAAAAGTCTGCAGCCCACTCAGACCGTGAAATAACCAACTTCAGAAATCCGATCAAGGACACGCTGTCAAACGCAGTGTAAACACTTTTAGTAATATTTTGTACATTTCTCATCTGGCGTGCCGGAGACTCAACATATTGTTCTTGTTTTGCGCCCTGCTTGTTGTTGTATCTCCAAGATTGAGCAGTGCTAAGCTGGTAATAATCTGGGGAGCAGGGGGATTAATCCTCGCTGAAGGATGTACCTTGGCTGCAGCTCTACGAGCGTCCACTCAGCAGAGAGGGTCGGGGGATAGAAAAGGACATCCGTCTGATTATGTCAGACAGAAGGAAACGTGTCAGCGTCTTGTAGGGCGAGTGGCAGGAGGCCAAACTGCGCTAATCCTGCTGCTGTTGTGTCCTTTTTCACTCCCTCCTGACAGCACGGTGCTCATTTGGACACTGCTGCTGTGCATTTGAGGTCAAGCAGTTAAAGGGGATTTTGGTCGACTTTACAAGTTTACAACCAGCTGAGAGATGCAAAGCAAATTAGCATCTGATCCATTCCAACTTTATTCATGTCATAGCTTTTCTTTTGGAGTCCAGGACCAACTGCTTCTCAGAGACATTAGGAAAAAGACAACCCAGTCATCAGAATAAATGTTGGCATTGTACGTTTCTGCAGTGTTATGTTTGTACTGAATGTTTCATATCTAGTTGATATGTTGAAACTTTATGTGTCTTTCTGTTTCAGTTGTTAATTTTATGTTGTGACAACGCTGCGGTTAATAAGTGGTTAGTTTCTGGCACAAAAACACTTGGTTCGGGTCAGGAAAACATCATGTTTTAGCTTAAAATACCTTAAAATGAATGGTTTAAAAAAACACCTGCTTTTGTCGCTACAAACACAGCTGGACATGTCCTCAACTCTCATTAAAAAATATTGCTTTTCTCACTACAAAAAGGCGTGGACATGCCTTGACCTCTCATTAAAACCTCTTGCACTCCACCCCCATTTTGTAGCGAAAACGCCTAAAATGACATACCCAAATTAAAATGACTGTAGCTTCTGAACCGCTCTGACTACATTCATGCATGAGGTCTTACCAGAAAGAAAACTCCCTGAAGTTTCTTGTGAAAGTGTCAGAAACACTCTAGGTGATACAGAGACAGAGTAATGGGCCTCTGAAATCAGTAAAACATTGAAGATTTTACCGAAAATAAAATAAAAAATGTTTTTCAGGATGAATAACTGTCTGTGGCTTCATCTGAGCAGGTAAATGACACTGTGGGGCTGTAGGCACACTATCAATGAACACTTGTTTCAAATTTGAAGAAGACTGCTCAAAGTATGACCATTCTACAGTGTTTTTACCATGAAAAGATCCAGGCGGAGCTCCAAATGACAGAGCGCTCACTCAGCTTCAAAACAGTCCTATCAGTGATCAAACGACACTCAGCCAGCTTCAAACATTGTACCTTATTGAAATCAGGTGTGATTATGATAGCTGATGTTGTTTATGACACAGAAACACCATAAAATATCACCAAATAAAGCCATATGAAAAGTGAAAGTTATGATCCCACTTTCTAGATGGTATATCTCAGCCAAAAATAGTGGTAGGAGTGAGACTCTTACCTTTTATAAACCAGCTAAGTCCCTGCTAACGGATCCACATAAGATCTTTTGCCATCGAAAAACGGCATGACATGACTTGTCACCGCTCATCATGATTTTGGACTTTGTGTGTTTAGGCTGCTCTGGTGCGAAATACATAATAAATGAAAGAAAAACGATGTTATTTTTGAAAAGTCGAGAGCTTCCTGAATCCAGCAATACCAAACATCACATGGTTTGATGACGTAGTGCGCCTGGGAGATACCATTTAACAGAGGAGGGGGGAGCGAGGACGTCGGCGTCCTGGCGAAGTTAGAGAGGTTAAGAAATTGCTGCTTTTCTCACTAAAAACATTTGGATATGTTTCTAATTTGCATTTAAAAAAAAAAAAAAAAAACACAGCTTCCGTCTCTTCAAACATGGCTGGACATGTCCCAAACTCTCGTTAAAAAATATCCACTTTTTCTCCTACATATACAGCTGGACCTGCCTTGAGCTCTTGTTGAAAATACCTGCTTTTGTTGCTACAAACAAACCTGGACATGTCCTAATCTCTCATTAAAAAAAAGCTGCTTTTCTTGCTACAAAAATGGCTGGAAATGTTCCTAACTCCCATTAAAAAATATCCACTTTTTCTCACTACAAAAAGGGATGGACGTGTTCTGATAGTTGTAATAAACACAGCTGGACATGTCCCAAACTCGAAAGAAAAAAAAATGCTGCTTTCCTGCTACAGACACTGATCTCATTCAATTTTGGCGGCAAAAAAATGGCTGGACGTACCAATAAGTTCCATCGAAAAATATCTGCTTGTCCGCTGGACATGTCCCAAACTCTCATTAAAAAATACCCGCTTGCGTCTCTACAGACACGGTTTGAGATGTCCCAAACTCTTTTTTAAAAAACACCTGCTTTTGTCACTACAAAAACAGATAGACATGCTCTGAACCGTCAACATTTCCTAAATTCTCATTAAAAAACATCCACTTTTTCTCGCTACAGGAACACATGGACAGGTTCTGAACTCTTGTTAAAATATACCTGCTTTTGTTGCTACAAACAAGGTTGGAAATGTCTCGAACTCTCATTCAGATATACTATACTACTATTATCACTGCAAACACAGCTGGATATGTCCCGAACAACTGTGAGAAAACACCTGCTGTTGTCGCAACAGACATGGTTACAAATGTCCCCAACTGTCATTCAAACAACAATACTGCTGCAGGCGAACTCCACCCTGAGGACACAGACAGTGAATGTGTCCGGCACCAGTATTAGACTGTGTGTGAGTGTTTTCTTAATGAGCAGCAGCTGTTTTTCTTTTTTTTTAGGTTGAAGTTGTCGCTGAGCTTCTTACATCAGAGTAATCAGATTAAGTAGTTTCAGTCTCAGTAGATAAACAAGTAAAATTCACTAAGTTGGCCAATGAACATCAGATTTACGTCTCTGGAGCAAAAAGCTAACCTGTCTCACAGCGTCAGATACCATCTGTCAGGAGACGAGCTCTGTGATGCCATGAAAGACATGTGACTGTAAAATCAAACATTAAGTCACCAAATGGCAGCGTATGTGACATTACAGCTGATACAGTGGTGTTAGCTTGTGGCTCGGCTATTGCTAACAGCGCGAAACACAGACCTGTCTGTGTGCAGGGGCTGATTAGGTCTATGGGTTTGTAACACACTGGACACATCAATAAAACCACATTTCCATGTTTTACCAGGTGATTGTGTAAATTGATTTATTGCACTGTGTTACATAAAGCACTGTTTAAACTGTAAGACTAAAGCTGTGTATAGATTTGATTTATAAAGACACAGCTTTACAAGGGACACACTGATTTATTGGCTGCCAGTGCTGGAGATAACACGTTACAGTAATATATTTAACATTATAGCAGTAACATTGAATATAAAATGTTAACCACAAGGTTTCGGGTAATATTATTACATTTACAATGTTACGTATTGTGGCACCACCTGAAATAAACTGTATATTGTCTTTATTCTTCATTTATCCATACCGATCAGCATCGTGCCACTTCTGCCATTACGCCACCAGAAAAATATCGTCCGAAGGTTATTGTGTCTTATCCGTACATCAGTATCAGCTGTCGGCCAAATTGTTATTTTAAACACCAGTATTGGCCGAGTGTTTCAGTCAGTGCATCCCTAAATTTACACAAATTCACATCATCTTCTGCTACGTGTCTCCTCCCAGTAGGGTTCAGACTGAGCAGCAACCTGCGGGGCTGAAAAATGAAGTCAACATCAAAGTGCCAAAAACTGCAGTTCCTCTAATGTTAAAATGTGTTTACAGTAGAAATCAACATGCTTACAGCCTGGTACAAAAAAACTGTTTTGGTCTCTGTTGCTAATTTCCCGTTCACGACAACTGTACAGAGAGTGATTTTTAATCATTTTATTAAGGCTTAAAGTTGAGCCCTGCGATCATCTGCTGCTGCTTTATTGGAAGAAGATCGGGGAAGCAGCCTTTGTCAGCTGTGGAACACACTACCTGTAGATATCAGGGAAGCTAGCTCGCTAAATATTTTTGACAGAAAGCTAAAAACGTTTCTCTTCACTTTAGCCTTTAACTCACTCTGACGTTCCTCATACAGGTCTGAAACTCTTTGTTTTTACGCTTCACGCTGCTGCAACTCTTTTAAAATACTTACTTGATTTTATGATTTATAGTTTTACAACTCTATGATTTTATGAATCAGTTAATCAGTGTTTTAAACTGTTTTAAATGTCCTTTTATATGGAAATACCTTGTTTGTCTGTTTTATGTCCATTATGTCTGTTTCCACATGAAGCACACAGGGTTTATACCGCCCTCATTGTAAAGCACTTTGTGCTGCATGTCTTGTATTAAAGGTGCTTTATCAATAAAGGTTTTTATTATTATGTCTGAGCAACTTCACAAATCAACCTCCATCTTTTAGTGGATGAATGAACACCGTCAGACTTGCTAAGAGAATAACTGTTTGTGTTTCCTCCCAAAACACGTCTGTAATCTCAGAGCTCAACCCTTCTACTGTTTTTTTTCTTTTTTTTTTCTTGGCGCTGATAATCCCTGATGCCCATTTCTGGCCGAGACAACGCAGGTTCATCAGAGGCAATCTCATCCGTTTAAAAACTTGTCAAGGATTAACAGGACATCTTTTTTCCTGTGTTTTTGGGAAGATTACGTGTATTCTCCAAAATCTGGGCTAACGCAGAGTCACATGAAAACAAAAGCATCTTCTGCCTTTCAGCTGCAGACTGCAGCACCACATCAGAACAGATTTACAGGCCATACTATAGTTTATTTTCTATGTATTTGTTTATTTTTTTGCTTGAGACTGTAATGCTTGTCTTTGATATTTTATTGTCTGGACCCCAGGAAGACTAGCTGTCATCTTGGCGTCAGCTAATGGGGAGCCTTTTAAATAAACAAATAAACAAATAAACAGGCGTTTTACACACAATATATGTGTCTTTATTCTAATTTATAAATTCTAACATTACTGTTGGTTTTCAGTATGTGCTGATAGAACTTAAAATGTTTGTATTGATGTAAAAATGAGTCACAAAACCTTAAAATGAAAAAAAAAAAAATTCTGATGTCACTCTGGTGTGTGTTTGTGTGTGTGTGTGTGTGTGTGTGTGTGTGTTTTGTCTGCAGGACCTGTTTTCAGACGGCTCACTTCTACATCGATGACAACTCATCACCCAGAGTCATTCCACCATCCACTGCTGCGTTAACATCTGGTAACACACACACACACACACACACACACACACACACACACACACACACAAAATAACATATTTACATGTGAGGACTCTCACAGACATAATAACTGAGTCAAGTAAGTTTTATTTTTACAGACCAAAGTCACAAATTTTACTTAAAGGTCCAGTGTGTCGGATTTAGGGGGCAGAAATACAATAAGTGTGTTTTCTTTCGTGTATAATCAGCTGGAAATAAGAATCACTCACTCATCAACAAGACTCTGAGATACTTGAACTCGTCAGCTAGAGTCAGTAACTCTCCCCCAGCTCAGAGAGGGCAACCATTTTCCAGCAGAAAAACATGGCCTCAGGCTTGGAGGTGCTGACTGGATCTGGACACTGGATCTTAAAAGGGCTCTAAAATCTGCACAACATAGCTCTCTCTGTCCTTAAACTAGATTCAGGCAAAGAAAAACTACACAAAACTCTTAACCTTATCCCTTAAGTTGTAGCCTTAACCGTAAAACCGTAAAAAAAAAAAAAGGGACCCATTGCCTCCCTGCGTGGCACTCAGCATCAGGGGTTGGAATTGGGGTTAGATCACCTCATGATTCCCGAGCGCTGCACTGCTGTTGCTCACCGCTCCCTCAGGGGACGGGTCAAATGCGGAGAACAAATTTCACACATTCAGGTGTGTGACAGTCAGTGGGAGTTTAACTTTAACTTTAAACCAGGCCTGAACCCTCAAACAGCTCTTTGATGAAATAAGGAGCAGATCAAAATGTTCACTTTTTAAAAATGTCCTTGATGTCCTGGATATGCCTGAAACGTCCCCACTCTCAAATTTGCCATTTTAAAAACTTTTCCTTGACAAAATTATCCTCACTGTCTAGAAAATGTTCCCACTTTAACAAAATTCCTCACTGTCATAACTGTCCTCAGTTTTCTGAAATGTTTTCCACCAACGTCTTTACTCTTATATATTATATATTCTCACTTTGCTAAAAGATTCTCACTTTTCAAATAAGTGTCATCACTTTAAAATATCCTCCATTTCTAAATATGTCCTCACCTTCTGCATAAATATGTCTTTATTTTCTCCAAAATGTCCTCACCTTACCAAAAAGTCTTCTTTTACCAGAGCACACACACAAACACAGGTTTATTATTCCTGTTCATCAACATTCAGACCCCTTAAAATTTACTACAACTCAATCACAGACACATTTTTATTTCAATAATACAGATTCACACAGTGTGAGACAGTAATAGATATTTGGAGGTCCACTTGTTTGTCCTCACCTGCGAGTCGATCAGTTATTGTTTCCTGTTTGTCTTCCAGATGAAAAAACAGCTTTTCCAGTGAAGGAGTTTGTGAAACACGTGGCCGAGCTTCACGACACACACGGCTTCCAGCGAGAATTTGAGGTACAAACACAGGATTGTTTTTCTATTTTCCATCTGAAACTAAAACACATAAATGTTACTCTTGAATGTGACTGTGGTGTGTGTGTGTGTTTGTGTGTGTGTGTGTGTGTGTGTGTGTTTGTGTGGTTGACTGTCATCATGTTGTTGTCTGCACGGTGCATGATGAGCTGTGATGATGTGACACAGTTACTGACGAAGGGCTGCAACATTATGTCACTATTTTAGATTCTATGATCAGAGCTTATCAGTAATTCATTCATTTTCAGTGTGTTCACAGTTGTGAAATCATGATTTAATAATCATTTGGAGGGTGAATGTTGCAGTCCTGGTTCATCTCTTTGTGAGGAGCTTTCATTCAGTCATGTGAGCAGCGTGTCTGTTGTCTCGCACCTGTCATCAGTCACGTCATGAATCGAATCTGTTTTTTTCTGAAGCTGCTACTAAAGGATAAATCAACTCAAAGACAAGGAGGACACAGAGCAAAGGGTTTTCTGTTGATCACAAAAAGTACTTCCTTAACTTAATTTTATTTATTTATTTATTTTTATTTCATTTAATTGTATTTTTTAAATATATTTTTAGAATTATTTTTTATTTTTCTTTAAATTTAATTTATATATTGACTTATTTTCCTTATCTTTATTTATTTATTTATTTTATTTTTTTGTAGGCCCGGCGGGGTGGGGTGGGGGAGTTGTGTAAAAGAAAAAGGGGGGAAAAAAGTGTTATCTACGTTCACTAAGTTTCAGTGTACTGTACTTATAAGATGAATAAATAAATCTGTTTTAAAAAAAAAAAAACAACAACTTGATATTGATGACGATGATGATGATGGTTATAAAGAAAGGAAAGAAAACACAGTCACAAGAAAATATTCCAATTTAATTAGAAAACAATCTGAAATTAGAGAACTAGAAACTGAAATAATATTACGTTATTTACAAACCAAAGCATTAGATTAAAGTTTAAAAGTAGTAAAGTTAAAGTTTTTCTTCTTTTTTTTTAAATGATTTTCTAGTTTAGTTTATAAAACACAGACAAATGTCCATTGTAGTTTCTCAGCGCCCAGTTTATTTAAATGTCTTTTTTTGTCCGACCAGCAGCCCAAATGATATAAACCAAAGAAAAGCCAAAGAGCTTCACAACTTGATCCAGGAGAATATTTTACATTTTTGTTTTCTGTCAACCCCGTCTCACTCCAAAGTCCTCGAAATCCAGTGCTTGGGCCGTGACTAACGGTGTCAGACACTGATGAAAATGTCGTCCTGTAACGTCGCCATTATACGTGGCCCGTCGCTGTTCTAGGTTAATGGCGCGAACGAAAGTTACGGCGACAAAAGTCTGAAGGGGGCAGTTGGTAGGATGCTGGATGGGTCCAACAAACACCGACTTTGACCCAGGAGAGCGGTGTTCAAAAAACAAAAGTAAAAGGAGATTTAAAAAAAAAAGATAACATGGAGGATAGAAACTTGCATAACCCCAGTTTTTACTGTGTACATCGTGTGTCGGCGGAGAGCAAACTGAACGACTGACTTACATGCACGCTTTTATTCCAAAAATGACAATATTCCAAATTTGATGCAGATCATGTACACACCATTTGGATATTCCAAATTAGGCCTTAAAGACCGAATCAGGTTTGTTTTAAATAACTTCCTGCCAGCATACTTCCAAGTCATGTACATAAAATGAGTGTCTTACCTTGCTGTCAGCTCTTTCCAATGTGGAACTGAAGCACTGTGGCATGTCCAACACTTTACCAACAGACTCCTTTTATTTTTAGTTGGACCTGTTGAAGTGGACCTTGTTGTTCTTTGGGTTGATTTGTCCCTCTGTGTCGGCAGCAGCATGACCTGTACTGTGAGATGAATTAGTTGTTTTCTGTGTCGTCTTGTAATCTGTGTTTTTGCACCTCTTGGGTTGACTGTGTTGTCACGGAAACGTCCTGGCTGCCTGCTGCCTCCTCCTCACCCTCATCATTAGATACTGAAGGAGAGTTACGAGGTAAGACGCTCTCCTCCTGATGTCTGCGTTCACTGACGGACGCTGCTCCACTCGTAGCTTTGTCTCTGTCTCGTCTTGTAGTGCAGAGTGTTTCTGTTAATGTGGGACTGTGGATGTACAAAAGCATGATTTCTGTTTGACACCAGTGGAGGAAGTCATTGATGTATTTTTAAGAAACTGATACTGGACACCAGTGGCACCTGTTCTCTACAAACATAAGCCAAAAAAGTTTCCTCGCCTCACTTCTTTTTCTCGTAACTCATAATCAAGGAAGAGACCTATGCAGGTAATTTGGCTCCCAGTAAAAACCTCCTGATCTTATGTTAAGTCCTAAGTCTTAAGACACAGTGGTGAGAACACATTAGCAGGTGCTCCCCCCCCCCCACCAGGCGACCACAGGCATATGCACACACTTCATACAGTCATCCAGTGTTTCCCATACTTTGATTTATTTATTCCTATTGATTTATTTATATTTCCTTGTAGATCACAGCCACAAATGTGACAAGAACTAGCTAGCTAGCAACACCACAGTCACTCCGCCTCACTCCCCGCTGCTGTGGACTGTTTCCCCAGGAGCGGAGCGGACAGCAGCTCTGAGACGGACCTTTGGTTAGCAGCTGTGGCAACTCAAATTCAGCCAGTGGAAACTCCCTAGTGCCAGGCGTCACAGTGGGGCTGGTGGCCAGCTGCAGTGCTGGGTCTAACCTGTGTAACCGCAGCAACAGAAAGTTTGCTGATCTGGCAGGGAGTCTGGGCTGGGGATTGCGCTGGCTGGATTCAGGTTGCTGTGGCCACTGACCGTCTCCAGAGCTGCTACCTGCTCTCTTCCCGGAGAGGGGGTCTGTAGCAGCGAAAAGTGAGGCGGAGGACACATTGTGATTCGAGGTTTCAGCCAACGTTAGCGACATAAACGTGAACTTGAAGCCGCAGCTGTGGCTCTGGTTAGCAGAAGGCTAAACTCTTAGCCAATATTGACACTATTTTATTTCCTTTAATGTCAGATTCTATTTTTGATAAGTCCGTCTTTCTTTTTTGGATTGATTTGAAGTGTCAACAGTTGTTACAGTTGTTGTTCAATGCTGCAATAGCATTGAATCAGGCTTTCACTGCAGGGCCTTGCACACACATCTGCATTTGTAGAGCAGCCAATAGGAACGCCCTCTCTCTGAAATGTCCTGTGAATCGTCAAAGTCTCCTGTCAGGCTCGATTTTCTAAAGCCTGAAAACAGAGCCAAGAGGAGGTGCAGAAGTTTGGTTTTCTCTAAGACCACTTGAATTACAAATGTTTAAAGGTTATTATGGGGTTGACACTAACATGAGCCACCTACCTCAGTTTTAGGTTGAAATATGACAATTAAAATATCCACATAGACAGTTTAAGTCCAACTTTTTTAAAAAACTCTCTGCATTTAGATTTGTACCTCCATCAAGGTGAATTTTGTTGTTGTGCTATAAAAAAGTAGAAGAATTTTCATATAAAAAAACTCAAACCTTCCCACACTTCAGCTCATGGGTTTTCTTGAGTAACCAGCACATTAGCTGTGTTAATTCTCTAAAATGATTTAGATAATCTTTGAAAGTTATTGTGATCTGAGCACAGTAGATGTTTTGCACCTGACTGAGGTTAAACCTGAATACTTTTTTGACGTTTGAGGTTCCCACAAAAATGTGTCCTTGGCACTGAGTATCAAAAACTGTCGGGTGCTGAACATTATTGCGATAATCATGTTCTTTGATCAGATAGTTCCTGAGTTAAATCAGAACTTTTTAGACTGTGTTATATTCAAAGTTCATGTGCAGCTGCTTGTGGTCAGACAACATTTAACACTACTGTTGTTGGTTTTTTTAAAGGATTTTGTAGAAAAACTTGTCTTTTAGTCTCAAAGTCAAGTACTGGAAAATGTTAATGATATCTTCTCGTGTAAAATGTCAACTCTGACCAGCAACACACCTGTCAAACAAATGGATCTATAGGAGCAAAACCTTGAAACTTTGTCTGTGTGTGTGTGTGTGTGTGTGTGTGTGTGTGTGTGTGTGTGTGTGTGTGTTCAGGAGGTTCAGTCGTGCGCGGTGGACATGGGGATGACGACTGACAGCTCCAACCATCCTGACAACAAGACTAAAAACAGATACAGTAACATCCTGGCCTGTGAGTACACTTCAGCTTTGACACATCAATGATTTCACACAAAATTTCACACAGATGTCAAACAGGATAAAATGATGATGGGACACCATTTTATGTCCAAAAGGTTGACTTCACTGTGACATCATAATGTTCTGCAAAATCACTTTTCTGGCCTCAGAAGAGTATTTCAGGAACAGAAGGGGAGACATTTGGTCAGATACTGAATTGGTGACTCTAATCTTGGGTCTCCACCTTGAAACTGTGCTGATTGTAGGCTGTAGATCTTCTGAGCTGCTGGGTTGAAGACGTGTGTGAAGCATCCATGTTTTAACATTTGTAGCTTCTTTGCATCAACATCCATATTTGAAGTATTGTCAGCTGTCATGGCTACATATGAGTCTGAACACACATGGATGTAAACTATAACTGCAACTTGTCTACAACCACCAGGCAGTAATTCAAGTTAAAGACTCATGTCTTCAGTAGGAAAAAATGGGCTTGGAGCTTAGAGCCACAGACAGGAAGTCAGAAAGTGTTAAGAGAAGAACTAACTAACTGATAATAAGATAAGTCTCAAATTAACCCTAGGCCAGTGTTGGTCAGTAACGCGTTACAGTAATATTATTACTTTTTCCTGTAGTAGGAGTAGTCTAACTAATTACTAATAAGATTTCAGTAATAACAGTACAGTTACCCCAAAACTAAACAACTAGTTACAACATTACTTTTGTAATCACATTACTACTGACTTGAAATACAACCTCACACATCAGCGGACTCATTCTACTAATCGTCATACTGTGCAGGCTCGTCATGAAGCAGCAAGCTAGTTTGGAAGATGGCAACATTTACCTTAACAGCTGGAAATATTCCCATTACTTTGACTCTGTCAGGAGCAAAGATGACAAGAACACTGTTGCTGCAGGTAGTAGAACTGAAACTCTTGACACTGCGAAAAACACGTCCTCAAACCTGCGTTGTGAAACACCTAGGCTACTGTGATCGACAGCAAAATAATGTGAAGCCACAGGATAACACCCCACCAAAAGTGAGCCCTCCTCGGCCGCAGAGGTGGGCTGTAGCTCTACACTGGCTAAACAACCAAAACTGGATTTTACTCGTGGACAGCTGCAGCTACAGAGAACTAGTGAAGCTTGTGGTGGATGAAATGTTATTCCACAGGCAACTGAAGACCCCTGGGTAAAATAAAAATAAATCATTTGCATGATATCTATCCTTGGGTACACTCACCAGCGATTACCCAACATTCACACACAGGCACACATCTGAATTTTGGGGTGATACACAATAACCAGTTTTATGGTGTGTAACTGAAAAGTAATATAATAAGTGGTGTAGTGAATTACTATCTGCAGGGAGTAATAAGTAACGTAATATTTTTGCTTTTGAAAACAGTAACGAGAAATTAGTGAGCCCAACTGTGCCCCAGACCTAGACTTTATTTGAAAAGAACATAAAGTGTTTAACGATTTAATCTGATCACGCATTCTTCTTTTTGTGTCTCAGATGACCACAGCCGAGTGCGACTCTCGCCGCAGGCCGACAAAGATGGGAAGACGAGGGATTACATCAACGCAAACTACGTGGATGTAAGGCACTCTCTGTTTCCAACCTGTTTTTTCAGTTTCAATCTGAGCTCCATACAAACCGAGGCCTTCCTCTTCACCCTGAGCTTCGCTCCTGTCAATCACACAGTCAGATTTATTATTTTATCTTCATTCACAGATCCACTCCACTTTTTCCTCTGTCTTCCTAAAGTCATTACACCCCCTGCAAAATTCCAAACCTATTCATGACATACCTTTTCTGTTGTCAGTGGGGACTCGCGAGGCTCTCCATTATACTTTTCACAGCACCATAAAATTTCAGTGTTCGGCGTTTTGTGAAAGGCAGAGGCGACACACAAAACAAAAACCCTGACTGTCACGGCCTCTCTGGAGAGCCGACGTACAGGTTACAAAGTTGGTAAAAGCATGTCGAGGATCTCTCCAGCTCACACTTTTGTCTGCGCCACAGTGCGAAGGCAACATGACGCTGTCAGTCATGTGAAGGTTATTTGACTATTAAAGCGGGTGATTGAATGCTGCCCTCTGCTGAAAACAAGGGACACTTTCTCTCGAGTGCTGGCCTTAAAGGGGCCTTGTGGAGTTTTCTTTCAAACAGACAAAAGTCATATTTATGTTCAGTGTTAATCACCAAAATGCACTGTGTGAATCCTTGAGCTCTAACGATTTGTTGAATGCATTGCCCCCCCTCATGAAACATTAGCAAAGCCAAAAAATGTAAGTATCATAAACCCAGCATTGTTGACATCCGTGTTTGTTAGAAAGAATTCTTCTTCTTCCCTGACATACAACATCTATATTATGATATGAGACTACACAGCCAAAATATTGAAACCACTGGCGGGTGAAGTGAATAACACTGATCATCCTGTTACTGTGCAATGTTCTGCTGGAAAACCTTGGGTCCTGGCATTCATGTGGATGCTACTTAATGTGCTTCACCCACCTGATCACCACTGCAGACAACATAAACCCCCTCATGGCAACAGCACTGGTCTATGTCAGTGGCCCCCCAGCAGGACAGTGCACCATGACACACCATGAAGCTGCTCAGGAATGACCCCAGGGATGGGACAAAGTGCTCAAGGTGTCGACTTTGCCTCCAAATACCCCAGATCCCAATCTGATCGAACATTTGATGAATGTGCTGGTACCCCAGAGGTACTTGGCTCTGACCTGTTAAGGCATGGACACAGGACCTCTGGAAGTGTCCCTTAGTGTCTAGCACCAGGGCTTTAGCTTCAGATCTTTTGAGTCCTGTGGGATGTGAGGTGGGGTGCCGGCATGTCCGGCAGATGTTTGATCAAATTGTGATTCAGGAAATTTGGAGGCCAGGTTGATGCTTGAGCTCTTTGTCATGTTCCTTGGGCCATTCCTGAGCAGTTTTTGTGGCGTGGTGTGGTGCATTGTCCTGCTGGGGGGCCACAGTTTCTGGGGAATGGAATTACCATGAGGGGGGGTACGTGGTCTGCACTGGTGTTTAGGTGGGTGGAGCGTGTGTGGTGGCAACCACATGAATGTCAGAGCTCAAGGTTTCCCAGCAGAACAATGTTGTTCACTTCACCTGTCAGTGGTTTGAATGTTTTGGCTGATCAGTGTATGTCCTCTTAGATTTTGGATATTGTGTTGAATTGTTTGAATGAATGAATCATCAGGTCAAATTGTAAATTTGTCAAACACTTTGTTGTATGTAACTGATAACATTTACACAGAAGTTTATAAAAGCCGCCGTGTGTTTCCTCAGGGTTTCAAGAAGCCGCGGGCGTACATCGCAGCTCAGGGTCCTCTGAGGTCGAGCACCGAGGACTTCTGGAGGATGATCTGGGAGCAAAACGTCTGCGTCATCGTCATGATCACCAACCTGGTGGAGAAAGGAAGAGTGAGTGACCAGATCTCAATTACACACACTTAACTTACATTCATGTTTGTGATGTGAAACATTTATTGATCCTTCATAGATAATCCGAGGCTGCATCTGATACTGACAGTCTGGAGTCATGGTGGTTATTGTTCACGTATATATTCTAATACTTCCAACCAGGTCTTTACTATAATATTTTTAAAAATCCAGCTTTAATTATCTTTTAGTCCCTTTTTAAAAAATTACAAACATGAAATATTCCAGAGTGAAAAGCTGACACTTTTTAATTTTATTTGTTTATGGTCAAACAATAGATCAATAAAATAAATTGTTTTATTATATGTAAACAACATAGAGAATATTAAATGAGATTAAACTGAGTGAGAACATTTTAATATAAATTTTAGTTTTTCATTTTAATGTTGGCCGACAGTTTGCTTTCCTAAACCTGAAAATAAAAGCAGAGACTGGTTTAACATTCAAGTATATATTCATTTTTATTCACATGAAATAAAGACAAAATCTCGTTTGCATTTTCATCATAATTCCTAATATTTGATATGTTCATGTCTCCTCAGAGGAAGTGTGATCAGTACTGGCCGGTGGAGGTGCAGGAGGAGTTCGGCAGCTTCCTGGTGACGATGAAGAGCAGCAGAGTGCTTGCCTACTACACCCACAGGACCTTCACTGTCAGGAACACACACGCCAAGAAGGTGTGTTAAAATGTTATTGTTTATTAGCAGATCAGGGAAACTGAAAGTTCTCTGGACATGTTAACATTAAAAGTAACGTAGATCACTTCCATCCCCTCATATGTTGTTGTTGTTGTTGTTTTCCCCACACAGGAGATCATAATCACTGATACAGATTAGTTCAATATGTTTCACCAAAACTCAGCTGTGCTCTCCAGCTTTGTTTCATCCACATCTTTTGAGTTGTGATAAATGTCAAGGAATTTTCTGAACTCTCTTCTTTAATGTTTCTAAACATATACAGACCTTAACCCCCAGTTTGATTTTAATTATTCCTTTTTGGTTGCACCTTTAGGGCTCTCAGAAGGGGCGAAGCAATGAGCGGACGGTGACTCAGTACCATTACACCCAGTGGCCGGACATGGGCGTCCCAGAGTTTGCTCTACCACTGCTCAGCTTCGTCCGCAAGTCGTCCAAAGCCAGGACGGATGACATGGGGCCGATGGTGGTGCACTGCAGGTAAGATCTGATCACGCTTTGGTTTCACTTTTATCCTCACGTCGGTAAATCCTGGATTCACCTCGTTTTTTCTTTCTCGTTGCTGTGCAGCGCCGGCGTGGGCCGGACGGGCACATACGTGGTCCTGGACAGCATGCTGAAGCAGATGAGAGATGAAAGCACCGTCAACATCACAGGATTCCTCAAACACATCCGCAAACAGAGGAACTATCTGGTTCAGACAGAGGTCAGAGGTCAACTTGTCTGTCTGTCCACACACATCCACACAGTTGTTCAGTCGTCAGTGTTACAACAGGCTGGAGTTTGAACCATAGAGTGTAGAACTGGATGTAGCCACCGTGACTTCACCCATTGGTTTGTGGACTAACATAAAGAAGCCTCCAGTTTGTTATTTTGTCTGTCGCCATCTTGGATTTTTGGAGCGAGAAGTATATCTGGACGTTAGGGTGGATCTGACACATTTTGATGCCGCGTTAGCAACTTATATACAATTTGACTTTTTTTGCAACTAATGGAGTCGCCCCCTGCAGGCCATTGCATGATGCAGGTTTTTTTTTTAAAGATATTTTTTTAGGGCATTTTTAAGCCTTTAATTGATAGGACAGACAAGCATGAAAGGGGGAGAGAGAGAGGGAGTGACATGCAGCAAAGGGCCACAGGCTGGAGTCCAACCCGGGCCGCTGCGGCAACAGCCTTGTACATGGGGCGCCTGCTCTACCACTAAGCCACCGATGTCCCTGGATGCAGGTTTAAGGCACTTCCCTGTTGGCCTCTCTTGTCAGACCTGGAGGCTACGTCCACTCGTATTCAGTCTGTAGTTTTAAACCAGTCAGCATCTTCATGCAAAACACAGCTGGATCAAAACTGGGATCATTACAGTTGAAAAGTAAAAGTTAATTAACATGTTGAAATATAATAATTTTTAACGTTAGCAGCGTGGTTTTATGAAGGCTGAAAAATCTCAACAACTGTACAATGGATAGCCAGGACATTTTATTCAGACATTCATGGTTACCAGAGGATGAACCCTGCTCACTTTGGTGAACCTCTAACGTTTCCTGTAGCGCTGCCATGAGATTTACATTTGGGGGTTTTTCATAAAATCAACAACTATTTAATGGGTTGCCAGGAAAGTTGGTACTGACATTCATGTTCCCTTCAAGATAAATGCCAGTAGCATTGGTGATTTCCTGAATTGTCATCAAGCACCATATTTAATTTTGTCCAGTAATTAAGTTTATGAAAAAACTATGGACGTTCTCATCGGCCCCAGCAGTGTTTTGTGTTTAATTCTGTTAAGCAAATGTTTGCATGCTAACAAGCTAAACAAAATTTGTGAGCATAGTAAATATTATCACGTTAACATTGTCATCATGAGGATGTTGTTGCAACATTCAACAGTAAAAGTGCAGGGAAGCGGCAGTATACACAAAATCTAATTATTAAAATGTTAGTCCAGTTTAAATATGGATGTATGGAAGTCTTTTGGGCTGCAAATAGATAAGCAAAGGGTCCCTTATAAAGACTTCAGGGAATTAATTTGAATGTTTGATACTTAAAATATAGATTTCTTCTTGGAGTAGCCCTTTGCCCACAAATAATTTCAAATTCAGTCTTTATCTGACATGTAACCTCTCAGTCAGTGCATGTAGAATAATGACAAAGGATTATCATTCTGATTACTGAACAGACGGTGCCTGTATGACTCACAATGAACGACATAAATACTCATTTACTATCCAAAAAGGGTGATTAGACTTCTTCAGTGTATCTGTCTCCTCCTGCAGGAACAGTATGTTTTTATCCACGATGCCTTGGTGGAAGCCATCTTATCCGGAGAGACGGAGGTGGCGGCAGCTCACCTGCACAGGTACGTGGATGAGCTGCTGATCCCGGGGCCTGCTGGGAGGACGCGCCTGGACAAACAGTTCAAGGTGAGCAGCTCAGTGAACTGTTCTCTGTGCTCACTGGACGACTGCTGAAGCTTCATGAGTCACTAAAACAGAATCTCAAATATGTGTCTTGTCTGTGTTGGTTTATACTGTCACTAACAGATGTTTTCCACAGCTGGTTTGTCACTCTGGAGCAAAGGAGTGCGACTCCTCTGCAGCGCTGCAGGACTGCAACCGCACCAAGAACAGAAACTGCTCTCTGGTACCTGGTGAGTCCCAAATGTTTGACAGTTAAGGAGCTGTAGCGCCTAAAGAAAAAGGAGACATCAGTTAGCCTGATGTAAAGGACAGGCTAAGAAAGGACACTGCTGCATGACTCTGAAATGTTTATTAGGAATTAACTCTTATTTTCTATCTGTCTTTGCAGTTGAGAGGTAGCGAGTACGCCTGTCTACGACGGCAGGGGAAACGTCAGACTACATTAATGCGTCGTACATCGCAGTAAGAGCAAACTTTAAATCTTCTCCAGAGTCAGGTGAGGAGATCAGTTTCAGTTTAATCACAGAGAAACAGTTTTCTCATCTGACTCTGAGTGAGACGGCCAACTAAATAAATAAATAAATCAGCCCAGTCACTATGTGAAAGTAAAAAAAAACAAAACATGAACATCTTTGATCCTGAGTCATGGTTCTGTTCCTGCAGGGTTACAGGCAGAGCAATGAGTTCATCATCACCCAGAATCCTTTATCTGGCACCATAAAGGACTTCTGGAGAATGATATGGGACCACAACGCCCAGGTCATTGTGTCACTGCCTGGGACGCCATCAGGCGAGGTGAGGAAATCATCGTTATGTGTTATGTGTGTTTGTGCAGAGTCTGTACACTTTAATTTAAAAGAATTAGTTAAACATTTTGGGAAATGCACCTTTTCAGACCAAACAGTCCGGGGGGGCTCCCCAAAAACGAAATACCTTCAAAGGCTTTTTCTGTGATACATTCGCACCTCCAACAGGAAAGCTGAAGTGACGTAAACCAGCTATTGAAGACATTGCATTGCACTTTGGCGAGCCAGAATTGCTTTGTATTTCCACTGCTGCTCAGTAAAGCCTTGACTTCATTGTGAGTCATGTTGGTTAAGATTCTCAGTAATCCAGATCCTGGTCATCCTGCCAGTGCTATATCATAGGCAACTGGACTTGCTTGAGTTTCTTGAAGACATTTCACCTCTCATCCAAGAGGCCTCTTCAGTTTTAATGGCCTGGTGCTGTGGTGGGGGGTTGTGTTGGATGATAGGTCACAAAACACCAGCCTTTCCCCTGGAACGTTTCCCAGGAGGTCGGTGTTTGGAACACGTAAGCTGAAATTTGGGTCATTTAAAGGTATGTCCCCAACCTAACCACAGTAATTTCAAATGTCAAAACTTAACCTCCGCAACTTTATGCTAAGAAGTAATTTTAAGTTAAATACATAAGGTCATTAGTGGGGCGCAAATTCCTAGAATATCATACAAACCGTCGTGTGTGCATTTTCGTAGGATACCATACAAAGCGTTGTATGAGGTTACAGTACAGTAGTAAGTCAGTAGATGAATAAAATAACTCAGCCCAAAGTTCATCTCAGCCAAAATTTAATGTCTATCTGACATAAGGGTCCAGCATTTTTCTGACATCACATTGATGTCCGGTGCTAGCTGAGTAGCAGCCAGTTATCACCAACACTGCTTTTAGGAGCTTTTTATTCTCTTTTAGCTCATTAGTTTGGTCTTCCAACCAGCAAGTGCTCTTATCAATCTTGTTTCCAGCAGCAGCAGGCGGCTGTTTTTCACCAAAAAAGTTTTGAAAATCTCGTTGTGCACACCTGCCAAATGGCACAGATACAAAATTAAATACTAGCTGATGAACATAGTCGTGCATTTAGCAGCTAACGGGAGAAATTTTAATCTCAGGAGCTGGTGGAGACCAAAAACAGAGCTAAAAGAGAGTGTAGAATCGGCCATCATGTGTGTTGGTAGGGTGGACCCATCTAACCCTAACGACACACATGATGGCAGGGTGGGTCAACAACTCACATGTGACCTTAACGACTTTGTAAAGGTTCACACCCTCATAGAGTTCAAAGCCTGCAACTCTGCACCAGTCATCTAGAACTCAAGCAAGTCCAGTTGCCTACGATATAGCACTCTCCCCCCTGCCATCTCCAGCATAAAGAGCTGTCCTTTAGTTTGAGCTTGTATAATTTTGATGGTGTCCAGTTGACTCTGTCCAAGACCTTACATTGAGAGTCTAGTTTTAAGATCGCTGGACATCTTTCTGGCATTTTTTAACATCAGAGTCCAGTGCTGTTCTGCATATGATGTGCCCAGCTCGGACTCCCACACCCCTTTGTTGTTGAGCTGTGCAGAACACACTCTCACGTAGACACTTAAGATATTTGAGGCAGGACACGAAACATCAAGTACTAAGTGATGCTTCGTGTCCTGCCTCAAATATCTTAAGTGTCTACGTGAGAATATCTGCAGTAAGGGGTGGAGTGAAACCAGATCAAAATATTTGGACAAGAAGGTGTCTCATTTGTAAGCAACGCCAAAACTGATGTTAAGGTAGCACAAAGGACTGCTTTAGGTTATTGAAAGACCTAATTAATTTAGCCCTAAATAAGGCTTTTTAAATGGAGTGATGACAAGGCGACCACTGGGGCTGACCATCTTCAAGAGATGGAGTTTTCCCTGTTCTTCCCATTCTGCCGACATGGCATACATGCAGCATTAACACACAGACATGAGAATGATATCCATCAACTCATATCTCTCAGAAAAGAAGTAAATAAGAGTATCTCCCAAAATGTTGAAGCATTCCTCTAACATTCACCAAAGCACGTTCCATCTGTGCAGGTCATTGCTCCTCTGTCATCTCGTGTCACTCTGGTGCTGCAGGATGATTCATTTCAGTCTCTCCTGTTGTTGGATCAAAGTGTGATGTAACCATCTGCGGATGTCCTGTGTTGTTAGACGGAGGAGGAGGAGGCGGAGCTGTGTGTCACCTGGCCCCGTAAAGGGCAGCCAATCAGCTATGAGACGTTCACTGTCACTCAGAGGGGTGAGAATCACATCTGTCTGACCAACGAGGACATGCTGGTGGTCCAGGAATACGTACTGGAAGCTACGCAGGTTAGTGCAACTTTATGACAGCTTTAAAAATCACTGGAAACAGGTGATGGTAATACATTGTCATAATATAAGAACAAATATTAGCTGCAGCTTCCATGAAATGTTCTGATCCCAGTCTTGCACAGGAAAAGTTCAAACATAAAACAAGACATTTCAAACAGCCAAGTTGTTGACTTGATTGCAGAACATAATTCCCCACAACTCTCACAAGGTGTCACCAGTTGTCATGTAGCCAGTATCTCTGTGAGGGGGCCCAGTTTGACGCAGCAGACAGCTAGTGTCATCAGTTTATCTATTGGAGGTGAAATTATTGAAATGGACCGCTGATGTTTAAAATATGATGCACTGATTTCAATGACATGCTCATTGTATTTATTGTGAACTGTATTATTACATCTGTCTTGACTTTTTTTAGAGATTTTATTTCCCCATACTATACTATGATGTTTTTAATCACAGTTTTGACAAATGATACTGTGATGATTATATGACATTTTTGTACAATCATGTTTTATCTTTTTTTTTTACATACTATACTCTGATGTTTTTAATTACTTTGCCATACTTTACAATGACGTTTTTATCTCTTTTTTTGTGTGTGTGTGTGTGTACATACAATACTATGACATTCTTATCACTTTTTTGACATACGATAGTTTGTTTTTTCAGCATTCAATAATGTACAGTACAGGCCAAAAGTTTGGACACACCTTCTCATTCAATGCGTTTTCTTTATTTTCATGACTATTTACATTGTAGATTCTCACTGAAGGCATCAAAACTATGAATGAACACATGTGGAGTTATGTACTTAACAAAAAAAGGTGAAATAACTGAAAACATGTTTTATATTCTAGTTTCTTCAAAATAGCCACCCTTTGCTCTGATTACTGCTTTGCACACTCTTGGCATTCTCTCCATGAGCTTCAAGAGGTAGTCACCTGAAATGGTTT